ATATATATATATATATATATATATATATATATATATATATATATATATATATTATATATATATATATATATTTATGTACGAACTCATTTAAAATAAAGTTCTTTCTAAAATTTTCTCTTACATTTAAAGATTTATATTTTCTCATTTATGTAATTTAAAAATTAATAATTTTGTACCAAAGGAATCCTAGAAAACTTACCTAACCTTATTATAACAATCGCAGTTTAATTTAGCCTAATCTAACTAAATATATTTTAGATAAGTTTACAATAATTTAATAGTAAACACAGTGAAATATATTTTTTTCATTAGGTTCAGAATGATTTTTCAGAAATTATTGCATACACAAATTTTTACTTGCCTTATTCGGCAAGAGCGTTGCTATTTAAGCCAAACTCGCAAGTTTTATCTATTCGGCACGACATACGTACATACATTATATTATATATATATATTATATATATATATATATATATATATATATATAATATATATATATATATATATATATATATATATATATATATATATGTTATGTAGGGAGGTACCACCTCTAGAACTGGACTGAGGACCCTCATACTGTGAGAAGAAAAACGTAACTCTGGGAAAACTCGAGTAGTTTCACGCGCGCAGCGTGAGTGAAAAAAAATAAAAAAAGTTATGGAAACTGAGTTAATCGTATAGAAAAATAGCGTAACTCTGTTTACCTGGAGTTTACCTGGAGAGAGTTCCGGGGGTCAACGCCCCCGCGGCCCGGTCTGTGACCAGGTCTCCTGGTGGATCAGAGCCTGATCAACCAGGCTGTTACTGCTGGCTGCACGCAAACCAACGTACGAGCCACAGTGGCAACACAATGATACGAGAATCAATGTTCAATGATGTTCCTACAAGGAAGGTAAACTCCATAACATGTATGGTGAGGCTGCCGCGCCTAGCATGCCTGCTCACGTCCAGTAAATATTTACATTTTTTTTTCCGATTTGTTTTAACTCTTCTTTGTATTCTTTCGATTATGGTAATGGTGCCAGATTTCATTTTGTTTGTAAAAAATGCACTTTGGCACATTTGTCCTTTAGCAGTGATGGCAATGATTTACCCATTTTTAATACAAATGACTCATTGCCATATATTGATGATTATAATTGTTTTATGAAAACAGGCCTTCACTTTATTCATGTCAACGCAAGATTACTACTTCTTCCAAAATTGGCAGAGATTAGGATTCTAGCTAACAAAATTAGGGCGGCAGTTGTATCCATCTCAGAATCCTGGTTGGATGATATGGTGACTGACGACGAGATCAAAATAGGTTATAATATAAAACGCTTAGATAGGAACAGAAAGGGTGGTGGAGTATGTGCCTACATTAGAAATGACTTAGCATACAACCCAAGACCTGATTTAAATAATAAACTGGAGATTCCATGGTTTGAAGTGCTGCTTCCCATGACCAAACCCATCTTAGTAGGAACTAGTTACCGCCCTCCCACCCAGGACTTTTCGAGTCTTGTCTGGACTTGATAACAATTGCGAGACAGTAATACTGGGAGAATTCAAAATCTGTTTTCAGCAGCAAAATAACGGGCTATGTAAAAGGTATAAGCAAATTCTGGATTGTAATAGTTATACTCAACTAATTAATACACCAACCCGGATCACACAGTTCTCAGCCACCCTAATTGACCACATACTTTGTAACCGCGCTGAGAACATTAGTCAGTCAGGCGTCATTACCACAGGTCTTAGTGATCATTTCATCATTTACTGCACTAGGAAAATCACTAGGGATAGGATAGTCCTACACAGTACAATAAAAATGAGGTCAACTAGAAACTACAGTAAAGAAACAATGGTAAATAGGCTACACAGTTGTGAAAGTTAAGACACATGTGCAACATCTGGATATCTTTATTGTAGTAGACGTTTCGCCACCCAGTGGCTTTATCAATACAGATTCTAGGACATAATAGGAAGACAGTAGAACTATATACAAAAGATGAGGTAATCAGTCCCTCGGCCTTGGAGTTAGTGTTCACAGCATCGTGGTGGAGGAGAGTCTGGAGCAAAGGCAAGAAGACTGGCGCTTTTTATAGGCGTCAGTGAATGGGACGGGCAGCAGACGAGGGCAGTCACTGGTAGGCGGGATTCCCCAGTGGAAGTAGGTCCTTCCCAAAGAGATGGGTTAGTTGCAGCAGCCGTGAAGAAGGTCTTGTAGATGTCCTCTGAACCAAGATTCCATGATGTTGCAGTGTCTGACTGCCCGTCCCATTCACTGACGCCTATAAAAAGCGCCAGTCTTCTTGCCTTTGCTCCAGACTCTCCTCCACCACGATGCTGTGAACACTAACTCCAAGGCCGAGGGACTGATTACCTCATCTTTTGTATATAGTTCTACTGTCTTCCTATTATGTCCTAGAATCTGTATTGATAAAGCCACTGGATGGCGAAACGTCTACTACAATAAAGATATCCAGATGTTGCACATGTGTCTTAACTTTCATATTGTCGGTATTTTATACCTTTCTTGCACAACTTGTCAGACACTGCAACATCATGGAATCTTGGTTCAGAGGACATCTACAAGACCTTCTTCACGGCTGCTGCAACTAACCCATCTCTTTGGGAAGGACCTACTTCCACTGGGGAATCCCGCCTACCAGTGACTGCCCTCGTCTGCTGCCCGTCCCATTCACTGACGCCTATAAAAAGCGCCAGTCTTCTTGCCTTTGCTCCAGACTCTCCTCCACCACGATGCTGTGAACACTAACTCCAAGGCCGAGGGACTGATTACCTCATCTTTTGTATATAGTTCTACTGTCTTCCTATTATGTCCTAGAATCTGTATTGATAAAGCCACTGGATGGCGAAATGTCTACTACAATAATGATATCCAGATGTTGCACATGTGTCTTAACTTTCATATTGTCGGTATTTTATACCTTTCTTGTACACAGTTGTGACTGGACAGAGATAACAAGTTGCACGGACGTAAACGATGCCTGGGAAAAATTCAAAACAATGTTCACTACCATCCTTGATAATATTGCACCAGTTAAAGAGGTTAGAATTAAACGAAGAAATGAACCCTGGATGACTACTGAGATATTAGATATGAAATTCAGAGACCAGCTGCTAAAAAGATTTAAAGCAAACAGACAGGATATTGCAGCGGTAAATGAATTCCAAAGGGTGAGGAACAGAGTACAGAGACTTATAAAAGGCGCAAAAGCAAAGCACTATTGCTCAAAAGTCGAAGAGTACAAGAATAATCCTAGAAAGCTCTGGCAACAACTAAAACAGTTGGGGTATAGCCATAAACCCGTAGATAGATCTAACATAGTACTAAATGACGATAACAAGGTATGCCACGAAACAACTAAAGTGGCAAATTGTTTTAATTCCTACTACACAACTGTTGCATCAACACTAGTAAGTAAACTACCAGCTGCGTCAAATACCTTTAACACAGACTCTGATAAGTGTAAAGTTGTCAACTACTAAGGGTATCTCATGACGTCGTGCAAAAAGAACTAAGCAGGTTTAACTGAACTAAGAGCACCGGCCCAGATAACATCGCGTCTAAGTTCCTAGAAGATGGTGCCTCTGAATTGGCAATCCCCATTGCTTACATAATAAATTTGTCCATCACCACCAATACTGTACCAGAGGGGTTCAAGAAGGCCAGAGTTACTCCTATTTTCAAGAAAAAGTAGTAGGTCTGATGTCGGCAACTATAGGCCTGTAGTATG